ATTAATAATCATAATAATTAATAATAATAATAATAATCATAATCAATTAATAATAAATCATAATAATAATCATAATTAAATAAAAAATGCAATAATCATAATAATAATAATAATAATAATAATAATAATTAATTAATAATAATAATAATAATATTTTAAATAATGCTAATAATAAAAAATTAATAATCATAATAATCAATAATAATAATAAATAATAATAATAATAATACTAATAATAATATAAGAATAATAATATCATAATAATATAAGAATATATCAATACTAATTAATCATAATATAATAATAATAATAATAATACTAAAAAAAAAATATCATAATAAATAAGACTAATAATATATATTATAATAATAATATAATAATCTTAATAATATAAATATAATAATAATAAGAATAATAATAATAAATAATAATAATAATAATAATAATAATAATAATAATAATAATATATTTGTAATAATAATAAAAATCATAATAATAATAATAATTAATAATAATAAATAATAATCTAATAATAAGTCATAATAATAATTAAATATAATAATAATAATCATAATAATAATAATAATAATACTAATAATAATCATAATATATATAATAATAATAATAATAAAATAATAATAATAAAATCATATAATAATAATATAATAAGAAGTAATAATAAGAATAATAAAAATCAGATAATAATAATAATATAATAAAAATCATAATAATAATAATAATAATAATAATAATAATAATGATAATATATACATAATAATAATAAATAATAATAATAATAATAATAAAATAATAATAATAATAAGTCAATAATAATAATAATAATAAAAATCATAATATAATAATAGATAATGAAAATAATCATAATAATAATAGATAGATAATAATAATAATATAATAATAATAATAATAATAATAATAATAAATCATAATAATAATAATAATAAAATAATAAAATATAATAGAAAAATAATAATCATAATAATAATAATAATAGATAATAATAATAATAATCATAAGAATAATAATAATAATACTAATAATAATAATAATAATCATCATAATAATAATAATACTAATATAATGCATAATAAGAATAAATCATAATAATAATAATAATAATATCATAATCATATATTCTCATATGACATCGTTCAGATCTTGCTACCTTCACTCCTGCCCTTGTTTTTATTTTTTATTCTATATCTTGCACGCGATACCGCCTCGCTGACACACTCTGGCTATTTCTCAACGCTGTGTCGTGCCCCCACCCCCCCTTCCTCCCCCTCCCCCTCCTTCTTCATCTCTCCCTTCCTCCCTTTCCCCTTCTCCCTCCTCGTTCTTCGTCTCTCGTCTCTCATCTCCTCCCTTTCCTATTCTCTCTCGTTCTTCATCTCTCATCTTTCCCCTCCTCCCTTCTCCCTCTTTCTTCATCTCTCATCTCTCCTCCTCATTTCCTCTTCTCCCTTCTCCCTTTCCCCTCCCCCCCCCTTCTTCATTTCTCTCCTAACTCCTTCTTGTCCTTCTCTCTTCTTATATTATCCTTCCTTCTTTCTTCTCTCTTCTTCTTCATCTCCATCTCTCTCTCGCTCTCTCTCTCTCTCTCTCTCTTTCTTTATCTTCTACCCTTCCGCTTTCCTCTCCGTCTCTCTCTACTTCCTACCCTTTCCTTTCATCCTTCTTCTCCTTCTCCTTCACTCCTCACCCTTCCCTTTTCTCCTTCTTTCTCTTCCTCTCTCTTCCCTCCTCCTCTTCCTCCTTTTTCCCCATCTCTCTTCCTCCCCCTCTTCTCTCCTTCTTCCTCCTTCCTCCTTCCTTTCTCTATCACCTTTACTTCACTCCCCCATTCTACCTTTCTCCCTTTCTATAGGTCTGTGGAAGAGGGGGGGGAAGGGGGGTGAGGGAAGGGTGGAGGAAGGAAGAAAGAAGGCAGAGAGAAGAGGAGGAGGGAGGAAGAAGAATAAGAAACAGAAGATGAATTAGTGAAAGAAGAAGAAGAAGAAGAAGAAGAAGAAGAAGAAGAAGAAGGAGAAGGAGGAGAATAATAATAATAAAAAGAAAAAGAAGAAGAAGAAAAGATAAGTAAATAGAATGGGTAATTATCAAATAGTGAATTGATGATAGTTGCTGCTTCATCATCTTAATCATTATCCTCACTAAGTTCATTCTGAAAATATTAAAAGTATCACTTCGTCATCATCTTTATCGCCATCTTTTCACATTTCTTCATTTTCATACTCATCCAAGCTTCATCACCATCATCATCATCGACATTATCTTAATCGTTATCATCACCGTCATCAACAGCATCATCATCTTCACAGCAGCAACAGTATGATAATTGTAATCATCACCATCACCATCATCACCATTATCATCATCACTATCATCTTCAATACT